CTGTTCCTCAGGCTGGGACAGGAGATCACATACTGGACTGCCAGTTCAACTGAGTTCCCTCCTCCCTCTCCCAGTAGAGCTCTCTTCCCTTCTCCTCCTTCCCTGTCTTCCTCTCCTGCTCTCCCCTCCTCCCCCCTTCCACCCGGGTCTGTCTGTCTCCTGATCTCCCTTGCTGTATTTTCCTTTCAGGATTCTGGCCATTCTGCCCCCCTCCCCCCCCCCGTCTTGCACTCTTCCGATCTCTCCCTCTAAGAAGAAAAAGAAGAACGGGGCCAACAGCACAAATCCCAGGGTCTTCCCTTTTCCTGGAGAAAGAGAAAGTTATATTGTTCGGCTCGGAACAGCTGGTCAGCTAAAACGCCTGGCAGAGACCCCATGTTTTCCACTCGGGAATGTCCGCACTGAGTAACAAGAAGAAATTAGGCAGACGCACAGTGCAGGGGTCACATCAGTACCCGGGTGGCTGAAGCTGTTATCATTGGATGTCCAGTGCAGGTTATAGCACTGCCTAGTCTGGCTGATGAGACCCACCGCCCTTAAGACTCAGAGGTGTCTTCAGGATTTCAGAAGGGTTGACCGATGGGCTAAGATGTTCCACCAGCTTTCTTGGGGTTATTAGTGCTCTGGAGCAGGAATTTCCAGTCACAGACTTCCGGAGCCCTGCGTCTGCCTGATGTCGCCGAAGACGGAGCTCGAAACGTTTGCTGATGTCCAGCGCGTTGGTTCACAGCCTGGGGGGGGGGGGGTGAAGGCCGTAGATGTCTGGGAGGGGGAGATGTAGTGCCGCCCCCTAGCAAACAGGTCGAGCGGACGTTGGCGGCTTTCAGAGCTCTGAGGCCCGGCCTCTCGGGGGCGGCTGGTCCGATCCGCGCCTGTTCTGAGTCTCGTAAAATGTGCCGCGCACGCAATTGAATCGGCGCTCCAGTGAATTAGCTCATTTGGACGGCAGGGCCAGGGTTGACACCTGTGGCCATCAAGATGGAACGGGGGGGGGGGCGGAGAAGTTGGCGGGATATAAATATATATATTTTTCTTCCTGCTTCGCTTCGGCAGTTCAGCCATTCCAGTCAAGGGGAAAACCGGCGTTTGGAACTGGCGCCAGGCTTCTCACGTCACTTAGGACCCAGCGGTTGGATAACAAGCAACGTGAGGTTGTGTTATGATCTCCTTTGTCGTCTCTTTCTAGGGGAATCGGTCCTTCCGTCTTGCCCTGCGGGGGGGGGCGATCGGTTCTTCAAAGACAATCTCTTTGGCCGTTTTCCCCAACTGCTTAGACTCCCTCTTAATAACCGACTGAATGGCACAGCCCTGGTGTCATTGCTGCATCTCTTGGGTCAGGGACAGAAGGTGGCCTCTTCCCTGTCAGTCTCCAGCTTGAATCCCGATGGTGGCCTGTGAAACAGCCAGGAGAGAGGAGAGAGCAAGGAGAGAGACGCGAGGCCAACAGCACATTGTAAGCTTGCAGGACGAGGAGGAGGGGGTGGGGGCTCTTGCATTCCTGTGGAATGGGCTCATCGGCGATTGCGTCAGCGGTTTTTGGCTGGGGAGTCCGGCGGAGCAGCAGGCCTCGGAGCCCTGTACTTATCTCTTCGGGGGACGGCCAGGGAGCGCTTAACCTCGCGGAGACGCGGCGCGGCGACGGGCTCCCAGGGGCGAATTTCAAAGCCGGTGGCTCTCTTTCTCTCTCTCCGGGGGTGTTTTGGTTTTGCCAGAGAATCCAGAAAACGTCAAGCCTGTTTTTTGAGGTGGTGGGGGGGTCAAACAACAACAACAAGAAAAGGCAGTCCTGTCCTGGGTTTGGGCACGGGAGACCCCGACTTCCCAGCAGCCCTCCTGTTGTCAAGGTAAACCTGGCTGTCTTGGGCTGGCCTGGTTGCCATGGGAATGGAGGCCTAGTTCAGATTCAGGTCTGAGGCTCTCCTGCCTCTGCTGTGAGCCTGTGTTGTGCTGTGTGTGGCAAGACGCTCTTCTACCATCACTGGCTCCTTGACACAAGGGAGCGGAGCTTTAATAATCAGCTGATAGGTCTTTGTTTTTCTTTTTTTTTTTCTGTGTGGACAACCCTCTTTGCTGTGGGCGACTTTGTTTGGCTTTGTCTAGGCTTCAAAGTTGCTAGGCCCACCCCCCCCCTCGCTCCCTGTGCGTGATGCCTCACTCCTCCCCTGACTTGAGCAAGTTTCTCTGCGCGTGAGATTAGGCCTCTGTGTTTGCACTTAAGCCTGCAGGCTCTTGGAGGTATGTTTCTGACCTTCGGGGAAAGAGAGCGAGAGAGAGAGAGCTCTCTGGCACAGCCCGAGGCTCGAGGCTGTGCTCCAGCCTGCCGCCAGCGAGCCGGCCTCGAGAGACCTGTGAGAAACGAGAGAGAAGACAAAACGTCACAGGGCTGCAGAGATGGGGAGCGAGAGAGGGAGTGAGAGAGGAGGAGAATAGAAATAGGAGACAAGATGGGGCTCTCTTTCGGTAAACGAGTGAGAAACAAGAGGGAGCCGGTTTAACGTTGATGGTTCCAGAGGAAACAAAAACATTTCTGGGTTGTCTTCGTTGTCCTCTTAATGCACATGGGGGACCTGAAGGACAACACAAGGACAGGAAGTGTGTGGTTAGGGAGGGACGAAAGGTGGCTAGAGTTTGCCAGTTTTATCCAAGACATCAAAATGTTCCATCCATTCTTTTTCTAAACCGCTTTACCTAGGACAGGGTGGCTATCCCAGCAAGCAGCAGGCACAAGGCAGGATGGGATGCCAGGGCAGGGCACACACAGACACGGACAGATACACACAGTTTTCACCAGGGCCAGTTTTCACCAGAAGCCAGATAACCTACCAGCACGTCTTTGGGAGCGTGGGAGGAAACCGGAGCACCCGGATGAAACCCACGTGAACATTGAGGAGAACATGCAAACTCCGCACGGATAGATCCCCATTGCAAGGCGGCCAGTGCTAACCTCAACGCCACCTCCTTTAAAAACATATTACAGCAGAAAAGCAGTGTGCATCCAGCTGTCCAGTCTGAGGGAGGGGGTGGGGGACTCGTGCAACAGAGCAAAACGTTGCAAAGGCACACTTCTGTACTGTTCCCAAGTGAGCTCTCCCCCAGGACGGAGGAGCTGTGAAAGGAGAACACGAAGTTTGAGGAACTTAGTTTGCACACAAGCAGGATTTTCTGCTCAAGTTCATCAAAACGCATTTCAAAACTGGATTTCAAAAACCCGCTGAGGCCCAGTGAGCAGAAGCCTTTCCTTGTGGGAGTGTTTTGCAAGGCAATTTGAAGTCCGTCTGTATTCGTAAAATCAGCGTAGAGGCCCATGTGTGTCAGATCTGCGTGTAAACTGAGCGCAGAACGTGCCACAGTTCAGCCCAGGACAGAGAGAGAGAGTCTTAAGTGAGGTGGAAGAGGAGTGCCTGCTCTTGGAGCTGCCTGCCCCTTCCCTCTCTTAAACACAGATGGCCTGTTTCTACTTCTTCTCTGCTGCCCTTTCTCCCCCATCTCGGGACATTTGACCCTCTCATCTTTTCTCTCTCTCTGACCTCTCTGAAGCTCTCCCGTCTTCTCTCTCATTGCTTCACTTCTGGCGCGTTTCCCAGATCTCTGCCAGTGATGCTGTTGCAATCCACACACCGTGAGCAGCAAGCACACTCTGTCTTGCACTAACATACTTGTGCACACACTCTCTTGCACTAACATACTCGTGCACACACTGGCACCCACTAACATACACATGCACACACTCTTGCACACTTACATACTTGTGCTTGACACTGTCGCATACTAGTATACTCGTGCACAAACTCTGCCTCTAACGTGCTCATACACACACTCTTGCTCACTAACATACTTATGCACACGCATTCTCACACTAACATACCCATGCACAAACTCTGCCACTAACATACCCGTGCACACACTCTCTTGCACTAACATACTCATGCACACGCACTGGTAGAGATGGAAAATACCCCTGCACACACTCTCTAGCACACTGGCATACTAGTGCACACACATTCTCACAATAATATACCAGTATGCACACACTCTCTCTTGCACTAACATACTTGTGCACGCACTCTTGCTCACTAACATACTCATGCACAAGCACTGGCTCCCACTAACATACCCATGCATACACTCTCTCCTACTAACATACTTGCGTGCTCACAAACTCTCACGCTAAAATACTAGTTCCTGCACACTCTCGCACACTATCATCCCCGTGAACGCACACTCAGACACTGACATACACGGATGTGCAGTTGCACACATATATTCCCTCTTGCACAGGCACGTCCGCTGTCATGACCACACACAAGCTTGTAATTGCACACCCTTTTCTGTGATGTTTCGAGTGACTTCCTGTTTACTCCTGCTGTAATTTAATTTAGGTTTTCTAATTCTCCTCAGATGAAAGTCCACGCTGGGTTCCCGTCTTCAACTAAGAAAAACTAAAGCCTTGTCCTGCTTTTTCCTTGCTGTTCTGTCCGCTGCCTGAACTGAGCTGCTTTTTCTTCTGTTTCCTTCTCTTTCTCTCTCCTTTCTTTCACCCGCGGAGACGCAGAGAGACACGAGACCAGCTGCCAGTGATTAACACCCCCTTCTCTCCCTTTGTTTTCTCCTCGTGTGCTTCGTGTTCCTTGTGCGACGCGTCTTGAGTTCCTGGTGAGAGGCAATGTGTTTTTCATTGCCCTGTCAAGATTTAAGTTTTATTGTAGACGTTAAACACCCATCAACCGCACAAAACACTTTTCTTCTGTTTTGCTGGGGAATAAAGACAGATTAATTAGGCTGGGATGGGAGTTTATGGGAAACCACCACAAAGATAAAAGTGAGCTGCATCGTGTTGCTCGTGTTAAGCCTGGACTCTCTCTCTCTCAGCTCTGTGGGTCTCAGTCAACTAATGAACATGAATTCATCCCACTCTTTGTCTGTTTTGAAGACCCAAGTGTCAGTCAAGTCTATGTCAACCCATCTGCCTGTGTGTCTCAGGGCTGTAGGTCTCATTCGATGTGCGTCACTCTGTTGTTTCTCTCTCTGCCGCCTCAGAGATGTAGGTCTCGGTCTCTGGCTCTCTGGACAGACGCCCCGGACAGCTGCCCTGCCCACAATGCTGCTCTTCCTGCTGCTGGTCCTCCCAGGTGACACGCGTGGTCAGATAGACCCTGGTGAGCACCGGTCCTTACGCACCCTGATAACGACCGGTGGTAGCAGCCCAACATCATAAATCGGACTGTGATTGGTGCTCCATGCAGCTTATAGTAGCAGCCAGACCAACAGCCGTTCCTCAGTGACTCTGATAACATTGTGTCCATACAGACTGAAACATGAGCTGGGCGATGTAGCCTTTAATAAGTATCATTGTAAAGTAGAATTATGGCTCATGCCTGGTATATATAGGCTGACATAATAGCCAGACCATATAGAAATTAATAGGTTTATACGTAGTCTGTTCATGTAGTAGTCTTTACAAACTACACTCTAGACGGCTATACTGCTATACACACTGTAGTTACATCTGGGCCATGTATGCTGTAATAAGATCTGCACAGGAACCAGTAAAGGTTTATTTCTTGCTGGAAAGAGAAGAAAAGAAACACAACGTTTCCGCTGTGGAGCCTTCTCTGGGTCCTGAATAAACCTTGACTTGTTCCTTTGCAGCCTGCGCCTGCTGACGCAGCCCCCTGCTTGTGATAACACTCAGCCAGACCTACGGCCTGATTGTGAAGCTCGTCCGTGTACCGTAGGGTAGCGCTTTCTCCTCCCTGTGTGGAGAAGAGAGCCGCCCCCAAAACACAGGGCTTTGTTTATGCCTGTCTCCATGGTGCCAGCTGTGGGCACCTTGGCCCTTTGTGCCCCCCCTAACCTCCCCTCCCTCTCCGCTCCGCAGCTCATTGCCGCTACCCTCTTGGCATGCAGGATGGCAGGATCAAGGACGACGACATTACGGCTTCCAGCCACTGGTACGAGTCCACAGGCCCACAGTATGCCAGGTATGTATGGGAGCTGGGACTGCTCTGGCAGTCCTGGGACCTTTCAGACTTCCTGAGCATTCAGGAAGAAGATGGCGCTGATATTTGTCCTGTCAAAGTGCTGAAATTCGTTCTAGCAGACTGGAAGTTCTTTCTTTCATAAAAACCCCCACCCATTTCTCTCTCTCGTTCCCTGGCTCCGTCTGTCATGCCGTTGTGCTCCGCCTGGTTGTGTCTTCATGTCTCTCTGATTTCTTGCTGCAATTTACTCTCGCCCTGAGCCGCCGTCGTGGGAACATCCGTCTCGGGTGAAAGCCAGGCGGTAGGCTGGCACAGCGTGGGAGTCCTGCAGAGATGTAGCTTTGTCAAAGACCCCGGGTGGTGAGGGCGTCGTTGGCAATCTCCAGTCGGCAGGCGTGTGTGTGACTGTGCGTGTGCACGCAGGTTGGAGAGGGAGGAGGGCGATGGGGCGTGGTGCCCCGCTGGGCTGCTCCAGCCCACCGACGTCCAGTACCTGCAGATCGACCTTCGCCAGCTCGTCTTCCTCACCGTGGTGGGCACGCAGGGCCGGCACGCCCGTGGCAACGGGAAAGAGTTCGCCCGCACCTATCGCCTGGACTACAGCCGCGACGGCGAGCTCTGGATCTCCTGGAGAAGCCGGACGGGAGTCAAGGTGACGGGGCTTAGCCGAACCCGAGGGGAGACCGGACGGTTTTTCGCGACCCGGCTGGGGTCCTCTGTGTGTCCTTGTGCCCTCCACTCTGCAGCTCGCGCTTCTTGCCATCTGGGAAATAAATCGGAAAGGGCAAGGCCGCTGGAGGTCGAGTAATATTTAAAAAAAAATGCAAATTTGCTTTTCTGGTAAGGCGGTGTCTCTTCTGTGTGGAGTTGTCATGTCAAGAATATAAGGTGGTCAGTATCTAATCCAGCTATTTCTGGAAAGCAGCTAGGGCGTCCCTTTCAACAGCAGTGATTGGGCAGCTTGTCCCATGCTCCCACAACCCTTCACTTCCTTATCTTTGTTGTTCCCATCAGGGAAATTTGAGGTAAAAGACGTAACATAGTGCCAAAATCCTTTCAGTAAAGAAGTGCTTCAGCAACACGCCAAGGGAACCTGTTCCATACTTTCCTGTCTTCCCCATGTCGGTGCTGCTATCTTCCTTTACTCTCTATTCCTGCCACGTTCCAAGGACATGCTGGCTAGGTTGCTTGGTACATCCTAATTGTCTTTGTGTGCACTGGTAACCCATGCAGGGTTTAGTCTTGCTAATATGTCTGGGATGGGCTCTGGGGTAATATAACCCTTACCAGGAAGAAGCAGACTTCGAATCATGGATGAGTATTATAACTGATGCCTGCAGCTCGTTGACACCAAAGGAGAAAGTGTTGAAGCAGGATCAAGTTTCCCTTTCCAAAATCTTATATTCCCAGATCCTTGACCCAGCTAAATAGCATCCCAATTTTTTTAATATCACTCTCTCTTAATCTCTGTGTCCAGGTGATTGAAGGGAACAATAATCCCTACGACTCTGTGATCAAGGATCTGCATCCCCCCATCATCGCCCGCTATCTCCGGGTCATCCCTGTCACCAATGTGCCCACCACAGTCTGCATGAGAGTGGAGTTGTATGGCTGTCCCTGGCATGGTGAGACTACCCGCAGCCTGGTTCTGCTGTGATAGAGACGTTGCTCTGTAAAGGTTTTTAATCAGTATTATGATCTGTAGAAGGTAAAGATATTGGTCTGTGATGTATGGTATTATAATCTGTATTTAGTAATGATACTGGTCTGTAAAGTATGAAATTATAATCCCTTATAATAATGATGTTGGTCTAGAAAGTGCCCTATTGTGGTTTGAATTTAGCAGTGATATGGGTCGATATAGACTTAATTTGTTATAGTTCAATTCAAGCCTGATACTGCTGTGTAAGATACTGTATTGTACTTTTCATTTGCGATTGGAGGTGGAATCTAATATTGAGCACTGCAGTTTCGATTCACTAGTTATAGAGGATCAAAACACACTGTACTGCATATTTTGGTCTTCTGAAAGCAGATTAGGAATTGATTTTCAAGAACCAGAATTAAGAAGTAATTACAGAAGGAAACTGAGTTGAAATTTCTGAGCTGTAAAAACGGACCTTTTATCAGACAGAATCCGATGGTCATTCTCTCAAGCTTGTTCGGTCATTGTCTGCCCTGAATCATATGATCCCGGTTGCTTTACGCAAGCGATGGTCGTAGCAATAGCCATTCGTTTTGTATATGTCACGTTCCAGCCCAGTGGAAATGAATTTATATTTGAAAAATGATTCCAGGCTTCAGTGATAAAAAAAACCTTCATCTGTATCGTTGCCAATGTGTAAAACTACAAATCAAAGTAGAAACAGTAGTAGGTGTCTTTCTTCCTCTGTCTCATTTCTGTAGCCCCACAGCTTATCTTCCTGGGTCATTGTTTAGCTGATACAGTGGTAATATCATGTAACAGCCAACAGCCAGGAGACTCCAGCAATGTTCCCTTTAAATGGAGTTGTCAAACCCCTGGTGTTATAAATTGGGTCTCTCAACAGCAAGCTGTGCACTGTTTGTGATAAAGGCAAAACGAGACTTTTCAGTGGCGATCCTGTCGTTCCTCCTTTCTGCTTTCCCTGTCCCTCTGCTTCCGCTCTGTCCAGATGGGCTGGCGGCCTACAATTCCCCAGAGGGCCAGGTGATGGCGGAGCCCGGCTATTCTATCGCCTACCTCAACGACTCCACGTACGACGGCTATCAGGAGCGCAGGTAGCGTCCTCCCTGCTGCACTTCCAGTTCTCCTTTGCTGCCTCTCCTAGAGCCTTAGGATCTTATCCCTCTTCCTGTAGGTCCCAATTGTTGGCAGCACCACTTACGGAAATATTTGGAAATCTAGTGAAATCTCTAGTAATTGTAAACGGAATGGCACTTACAAAAAACATGAACAGCGGGTCAGCAGCTCCACTGTAAAACGCTTTCTGAGCAGATCAGACTACGCGTTACTTAATCTGCTGACGTACGAGACTGGAAGGTTGCAGGTTCAAATCCTGGGTTTCGGCGGCACAGCTGTTTTACCCTTGTGCAAGGTGCTTCGCTTCGATTGCTTCAGTCTCCTTGGACATCTAGGGTAATGGAGTCAGTCTAATCAGTTATTGTTAGGATATTATTTCAGTATTTTTCTTATTTTTCAAGCTGCCCCTGTATGGTGTCTTTAACTTTTGGAGGAGCACTAAGTGAATGGAGAGGGTGCTGCTCCCCCTTGTGGGAAGCTGTAGTACTGCAGGTGGCTCCCAGTGGTGGAAATAGATGGTCCTCATCTAGGCTGCAGGACTGACTGAAGCGATCAGTAGACTGTGTTGCTGACAGTCACAGCTGCTGCATCTAAGTTGTTTCTAACTCCAGCCCCATTCAGCGCCGCTCAGGTCCTCGGGCATTGCTAAACTGCAGCCGTGGCTTCTGCGAGTGTACGTTAGCGTGCGGTGTCACCCGCGCAGGCATCTCTACGGGGGGCTCGGCCAGCTGACGGACGGGCTGATCGGGCGGGACGACTTCCTGCAGACCCACCAGTACCGCGCCTGGCCCGGGTATGACTACGTGGGCTGGAGGAACGAGAGCCAGGGATCTGGGCACGTGGAGATGGAGTTCATCTTCGACAAGCAGAGGAACTTCACCTCCATGAAGGTACAGCGTGGGGGAGGGAGGGCAGAGAGGCGACAGCAGGGAGGAGAAAGAGGCAGAGATGAGAAGAATAATCCTTGCACTTATATTGCACTTTTCTGGACACGCCACTCAAAGCACTTTACAGGTGATGGGGGAATCCCACTGCTGCCACCAATGTAACTTGGAAAACCTCCAATTTGCGTTACAAAATAAGACCAAATTTCCAGGTACGTGCAGCACCACATTCTGCAATTCAGAAATTCATGTGAGCTCGGCAAGACCAGAGATTTGTGACAATATGGTGACTTACAGCCACTTTCACAAAAGTTCTCGATTGTGTGTTTCACTCGGTATTTGAAAAACGTATTCAAGTTACTACGTTACCGAGAGGTAAGTGTGGGTACCAGGGTGTGGAGCGCAGGTGTGTGTGACTGTGTCGCCCCCTGCTGGCAGGTGCACTGCAACAACATGTTCGCGCGGGGGGTGAAGATCTTCGCGGCGGTGTCCTGCCTCTTCAAGCCCCGGCTGATCGCGGACTGGGAGCCCCAGCCCGCCGAGTTCAGCCCGGTGCTGGACGACCGCAACCCCAGCGCCCGCTTCGTCACCGTGCCGCTGGGCGGCAGGCCCGCCAAGGCCCTGCTCTGCCGCTTCGCCTTCGCCGACACCTGGATGATGTTCAGCGAGATCTCCTTCCAGTCTGGTGAGGGTGCCAGATACCTGGCGGGTGGGTGTGGGGGGGTGGATCTCTCTCCCCGGGCCTGGTCTAGCGGGGGGACCACCTGTGTTGTGAAAACTCAGAACAGGGATTTATGGACCCCTAGGGGTTCGTGACGGTACTGCAGGGAAGTTTCGCGAGATTGTCCAGTCACTCTCCAATTCAATTCAGTTTGAAAAATGTATTGATTTTCTGGAAAGTAAAATCTGTTACGTTAAAACAGTCAAGTTTTGCGGAGGAATCCTACTCCGTTGGGCCCCTGAGCCAGGCCCTTCACCCCAGCTGCTCCAGGGGCGCTGTTTAAATGGCCGACCCTGCGCTCTGACCCCCAGCTTCTCTCCCTGTCTGTGTGTCTCATGGAGAGCAAGCTGGGGTCTGCGAAAAGACAGATTCCTAATGCGAGAAATTGTATAGGGCCAATAAAGTGATGTTATTTTTACCTGGACTTTATATGCAAAAACCAACGATTGAATTAACTGATAGAATTGGCCCTGTATTTACTGAAGGTTTGATTTAGTTCAAATCTCAAGGGGTTACTTGAGGCAAATAATTTATGTTGAAGGGGGCTTCCGCTGAGAAAAAAGGTTGGGAACCCCTGAGTTTAGAGTGTCCTAGATAATCGTTAGAATAGTAGGTAGTGATGTATTTAAATTCTCTTGCTGCGAAACCGATTGCAGTCGGATTGGGTGATCTCCCTTCCCTCTGTCTCTGTCGCTCCGTCTAGACATGGTGAACCCCAGACTCATTCCCATCAACACCCAGTTGCCGTCTGGACTGAGCACCTCGAACCCGGAGCAAGAGTTTTCGACCCCCACCCCCACCCCAGCCTTCAGACAAGGTACTCTCATTCGTCTCAGTGCTGCCTTGACGCCCATTGCATGAACAGCTGGGACACAGAAGACTGTTGAGCGTCTGTAAAGCTCTTGCAACAATAACCGAGGGCGTGTTGTGTTAAAGGGATGTGTGCAATATTGAAACGGTGCAGTACGGTCCTCGTTTTACAATGCAGAGCTTATCCCCGCTTACTGATGCGGTTCTTTGATAGGCTGATGAAAGAGAGTGATTTATCCCGCTGCATTAAGATCGTTTGACCCTCGAACCCCGCCCCCTTTTTTTAGAAACCACGCCCCCGGACAAAGATCACCAAGACGACAGCAGCACCTCGGTGCTGATTGGCTGCCTGGTGACCATCATTCTGTTGCTGCTGGTGATCATCTTCGTGATCCTGTGGTGTCAATACGTGTGCAAGGTGATGGAGAAGGTACGTCACAGGCCTCCAGGCGCCTGGCCTTGGCTGTGGTCCTGGGACGAGCGCGCACGGTGTCCTCCTTCGTCTCCGGGGCCGGGCAGCTTCTTCCAGCGACTGACAGCCCCTCTTCCCCGTCCAGGCCCCCCGCCGCATCCTGGAGGAGGAGGTGACCGTGCGCCTTTCGTCATCCTGCAGCGACACCATCGTCATCCAGACGCCCCCCACGGCCCCCCAGGTGGACCCCCCTTACGAGCGGGTCTACCTGCTGGATCCGGAGTACCAGAAGCCCCCCACCCCGAGGCACAAGCTCCCGGAGCTGTCCCAGAGCGCGGAGGACTCGGGTACGGGCCGGCGGGCGGGCGGGCACGCTGAGCATAGTGAGACTGAGGGATCGTGGGACGGGGACCGGTGATCCCTGCCTGATTGTCACGTGGAAACCGTTCCAGTCCTGATCCCGGCTGTTTGAAGAGCCCTGGGGAAGTGTGCCGTTTATCTGTTCTTGCTGGAGCCCGTTTCCTCTTGTCTGTCCAGTTCAGTTCAGTTCAGTTCAGTTCAGGATCCTTCATTGCCATGACCTGGGATGAGGCTGGCTGGTGTCGGGTCTCTCTCTCTCTCTCTCTCACCCCTCGATTCTCTGCCCCCTCCCTCTCTTTCTCCTGCTCTCCCTGTCTCCCAGCAGTCACGCTCAGTAACCCTGCCTATGACCTTTTCATCCCCACCTCCCCCCCCCTCTGCTGGCGGGAGATGGGGCCTCACCTTGCCTGGGTCAATGGTAAGAGTGCCTGACTCTGTCCCTTTCCCGCCCCTGTGTCCCTCTCTCCATCCCTCGCTTCCTCCTCCTCCTCCTCCTCTTCCCCAGTCTCTCGCCCTCGCGCCCCCTCTGCGCACCACGGTATCTGTCGCCGGTCGCTCCCTCTCTCGGCGTGCGGTCAGGGTTCCTCTGGGTCCGCGCTCTCGGAAGGTCGCAT